AGTGTTGAATGAGCTTGATTTACCATCTACTGTATGGATGCACTCGAACATTATTAGATCTTCATCACAGAAAAAGTCTACAGTTATTGATTGAAATTTTCCTCTTTAATCTTTGCAGGTCACGCTTCTCTGATAAGGAGAACAGGGCGTATTGTTTCTGGTTTTATCTCATAAACGTATCAAATCCGAAACTTGCCAATTGAAAACATGACATAGTTGACCTTAAGATATTGCGAAAGACGATTCGGAAATTAATGTTGAATTTCCAGCCCCATTTTTCTCGTATATGTTCTAGCAAGAAGTTTTTTTTTTAAAGGGTGTGTTATCATACTTCATCACAAGACCTGTTTTATGCATTTTCGCTCCGTACAAAATTTTGTCCTGGAAAAATTTTAAACGATAGAATTCCAGATGTCGAAAAACCGGAACGTTCTTCTGCAAATTCGAACTCGGATGGACGCAGTGCAAAGAGATCGAAACACTGAACAAGTTATGGCCTAGGAAGTGTTAACGAATACAAAGTGCAACGCTGGTTTGGTATAATCCGTGGTAGAAAATTCGCCGTTGATGACAAAGGTCGCGGACGCCGTTCTGGCTGTTGACAACGATGAATTGAAGGAAGGAGCAGAAGCAGTAGAGGCACAAATCTTCGGAAACTAACAGAAAAGCTCAGTGTAGGCATTTGAATTGTTTCGATTCGTCTAATAAAAATTGGAAAGTCAAAGGAGCTCAGCACATGGATGCTGTACAAATTGATTAGTTCCTCTCTACGATATCGTTTTGGCAAAAGTCGCAAAACCGACGCTGCAAACGTGGAGGTTGGGCTATTTGCCCCAGCAATTGTACTCATCTCGACTATCGGTTCTTGAGGCACCTCCACAACTTCTTGTACAAGGAGTACTTTAGAAATGGGGCAATGCCGCAACTGCCTTCACTTACTTCGTTGCAGCCACCAGAAGTGCAGAGTTTTATGCAACCGAATTAAATAACCTTGCTACTTGTTGACGAAAATGTGTAGGTTTAGTGGCTTTCATTTTGGTTAGTAAAGTTTCTCCTGAGCTGAACTATGCCATTTTAAATATGCGGACTCAAAATCCTGCATTTATTTCCTACCAACCTAAGCGGTACAGACTGGAATTGCTTTCGTGTTGTATTAGTTTTGATCGTAGAATAAACTATTTGTCTTAACGTTTATCTGGATGGCTATCCACGAAAAATAGTGTTGGCCTTCGTACCATATTTGCATGCCCGATAAATACTTGTTTCATTTAAAAGGTAAAGGATAAAGCTCTTCGACGTTGATCAATCGCTTAGGGATGCACCATGCATTTGACTTCATTAAGCACCGTTTAGAAGTGATTAAATGCATATTTGGCCATTACGATGACTCGCGGTGACCTACCGATGTATCGAGTCAGTGCTGCTATCCCCGCAGACAAGTTTGGTACCAATTTGCCGACCCCGAAGGGATGGAGTGCTTGGTAGGCAATGGGCGCGGGGATCGATTCCATGTGTGTTGCAAGGCGCCTCCGACCACTGCGCCACACGCGTTCCTATTTAAAAGAATTCGAAAAACCTGTCAATGTTTCCTTAAGTCGAATTCATAAGGAATTGACGTTATAGCCGGGAATCAAGTGACCTTCTTCTAAAATCTCGAATCTGATAATAGATTAATCTATTATAGGGTTGAATCGAGCACGAAATAGAAAAGATTTCAACCATCAAGAGCTGAAAATTGGGAGTTGTTCCACTCATGTGGACTGACTTCTTCACGACGATTCGTCGCCTCTGTCCGAAGTGAAAAAGGTCGTACTAGATTTGCATAGTTAATAAGCGAGGTTTGACTGAGGCGGCTCGGATGCGGATGGTGTTTGAACGAGCCGATCTCTCCTAATTGCCGGCTGTCCCATCCGTCAATCCACAGCGCCGATCATTTATCGCTTAGGAGTCGGTTGCATTGAGGTAATTGAAATTAGCCAAGATGTCTTCAATTGACATTTTCTATTATATAGTAGCGTTCTATTATTGATGGTGTTTATTGTCGAAGATGTCCAGGAAAAAGGCTAATCGGACGGCAGTTGATTCTGCTGTACTCAGGAAAAGCATGAAGTAGCCCGCGTGAAAAGCAGGTACGGTAGCAAAGGCTAATGTGGGCTAATAGAGATCCATTGTCGCGTTTACTTTCAAAATCCGATACCAACTGATTTATTTCAGGTTAGACGACCTTATTTAGACGTGACCAAATAAGGGAAATATCCAATAGTGAGAGCTACTCTCGTAAAAGCTCATTGCTCCATTTACCATTGAAAATCCATTTGCTTTTTGCTGACGCTGTGCACGACTCCCATTTTATTGATTTCAAGGGTGGTTCACATGAACAGTCTCAGACCGTCCTGTCGCTTTAGTGTTCTAGGTCATCTTGTACTTCTGATGAAGCATCAAGATTTACACTCTAACGAACGCTTTAATAAATTAGTACGAACTGGTTGAGTGTATAAGGCCTTTGTAACTACTAGTTTTCAAAAATTAAAAACTTCTTTTGAGAAAGTCGGTGTCTGTCAGATTTCTAATCCATTGTTTCAAAACCGTTTTTTGAAAAGTAATGTAGCAAAGAGATTGTCGTCTATCTGCGATATTCGCTATGACACTGAACATGAAGTTCACTAGGTCCTCACCGAATTACCATGCCTTCTTACTGGTCCAGTGCTTCGCGTACTTTCAGTCAACGATCAAGATTTTTAAGTGAGAAGCCGTCAACCACCCCTTTAGACTTAATATGTTCCTCAATAAGCTCTACATGATGGCGACCTGGCCTCTCTTCCTACGCGATGACTACTGCTTAGTTCTTCTTCTTTTCCACATCTCAATTGTCTGACGCCTGTGAACGCGACATTATACAATGAGATGAGTTTGGCGATAACCAGGCTCATAGTACGGGTTTAATTGACCGCATTGGCTGACAACCGCTGCAAAGCGGTTTACCGCATTGCCGATCTTCTGTATCGCTCCAATAGATCTAATTGAAGTAGGCGATACTGAAAGGTGTCGTCGAGACACGCGATTTCACCGAACGATAGAAAGATCCCGAAATTAATTGGATGTCGCTCGATTCGAGTGCATCTTCCTCTTCTAGCCAGCGATAAAATCCAATCGTTAGTCAACTCCTCACCGCTCTCAACAAAGACATCTGTGGCATTTGCCTCAGACTTCAATTGCCCGAGGGTTACACTTATCTATGTCATAAACTGGTTTTTCCGATGCGAAAATCTTACGACCCTTCTTTAAAGCGAAATGAAATCAGAAACAACTCCGATCAGAAATATTTTACGGAGTTTGTCTAGTTTGTTTGTCTACCCACTGACTTTTTTCATTAGGTGAGTATCGGTGTTACGTCCAATACAATCCATCACCATACGTTAAATTTTGGAGCTAAAACTAGAGAGATCCACAAGGTTGTGATATTATCCACGACAAAGTGACAAACAGTGCTAGTGATCTGATATTTTTCCTGAATATGTTGTACAGATCGCGATCCGCCTGCCGATAACCTCATCTCCATGAATGCCTCATTTGAAACTGCAGACACCTGTCCTTAATGGTTCGCTCCGCCATCAAACTCGCAGCCCTCTTTCTACACCCAGTCAGTTTTCATATTCGTACCGAAAAAGGTGCAATCCATTATCGCTCGCTTGGTCTTTTCTGCTGGACCTCTTTTAGGCTGTTCGATGCCATCGCGGGATCACACGTATCCTCATTTAACAGCACATCGTCGTTGTTCCATCAGTCGCCGGCTGTTACGGTGTTGATGAATTTCGATGCGCCATAATGAGTGCGATCTCTATCGACACGGGGTCCGTTCTACACCTGCACTAATTAACCCTGTCGTCGTCGCCTCGCACTAGCACATTCGTTTTGATTCTAACTGTTCATGCTCTTTAAAAACATGAACATAGCAATTGGAGCGAAATGTTCCTCCAAACTGGGTTCCAGAAAGTTCACAAGCATGCAGACAATGTGAACTGCTCTCAACAGGTCGCAGCAAATAGTCGATAAGCACTCGAGTCTGAGTTTTCCAGTATTACGGTCGATGCCATTAACTGAGAATTTTTATAGGAATTTCGTAAATTTTGACCTCCTAATGTTTGAATGAAGGAACGGATAGCAAAGTGGTAGTGATGCCTGTCATCACGAGCATGATGCTAGTTCGACTCCCCTTCGGGCCAACCAACCCTCTCATCTCTCCGGGTCGGGAAATTGGTACCGGACTTGGCTGAAAAAATTGCTCTCTGCAATCTAATTGGGAGTGTTTCAGTTTTATCTCAGGACTCCAGGGAGAATTGTTCGACCAGCATTCTACGACATTCAAGATGAAATGAAAATCCTCAAGCAACAACTGAAGCCGCACGTAAAGTTCGAATATCTTCGTGGATGATGGATATGAGGAAACGAATTGAATATGAGAAGTGCTGGGGATCCGCCAGTAGACGTGAAAACGGATCAAATAAAATAAAACCGCTTGAATGTTGTAACGATCTATGCGGAAAATATTTGTACGTTTATTTAAAACAAAGAATAGACTCATCATGAACATCTCTATCACACTACAATCACCTAATTCATCAGCAGAAGAAAACGCTTATTAACACACCTGAATAAACTCTTTTCCGGAGCGAAAGTTTCGTATTTCATCGCTGTGGGAAAGGGATCGATACGTACAAATTACATTGCTGGCGTCAAATAAGTGACGAAAACGTATCCAGGCTTTACATGCATATAATGAATCGAATCTGATGAGTAACAATTGAGCTAGTAGAGGTTTGGAAAAGGTGAAATGGACCGCTCCATTAACTACTTTTCAGGTGCGGTTCAAGAATACCTGCCGCGTTTACTTCTATTTAGCTGTTCTTAAGGAGCTAACGGGTAGTTATGCATAATCGACCGATAAAAAGACTTGTTTTGTGTTATGTAGCTAACGGATCAGATAGCTGAGGTCTGAGATCTCATGGACGAATGGAGCTGTGGTTGTACAAGCCGTGTGCCATTAATTGCAATGTAAGTGGTGGACGCTCAGCCGCCACTTTCTTCAGCTTGGCACGTTTGTTCTGAAATTCGGAACAAATAATGATGTAGTCAACACCAGGCACAATACTGCTAGCAAATGGAGCACATATTTACAACGTAAAACTTAGAGGCTTGCTGAAGGAAACGGTTTCTGTGATCTGTTTGTTAGATGTGAACGAAATTGAGGTGTAAAAGCGCTGACGAAGCAAATGGCACTTCGGTCGCGATAAGATCGCTTTCCAAATTGGTGAGATGCTTCTCATGTTTTCGCCTTTGATCGACCTGTTTCCTCTGATTGCCACGGAATTTGAATATCAAAAATCGCCACAGACCTATCACGAGTTGATGCGAGACTTGCGCAAATCATTCGAAGCATCTCCAATAGCGCATTTATGAGTGGTAAGCAATGGTGTTTTCTGTACAATAGCTAACCATGGAGTTGAATGAAGGCAGAGTCGATCATGTTTAAGGACTATATATGTAGTCCATAATAATCTTCCATGAGTATTTGATTGTAATTCGATTATTCGAAGGGCATTATCAGAACCAAGAGATGAGAGTTCCGATGTCCCACAACGATATCCCAAACGTAAGTGGTATCTGGTCGTGTAATCTGTGCACGCCGCCTTTCGAGACGATGCCCTTCTACCGAACCGCCGGCTAATTGCGATGAAAAAAGCGTAAGACATGTAATTATGGACGCTATATCAGACAGTACGATTGCAAAATGACTGATCGCTAACCTGGAACCATATTTTGATCTGTGACTCGTTCAAGCCCAGCTCGTGGGCGAGCTCTTGGCGTCGTTTCTCGGTCAAATACCTGTAAGAAACGAAGACTGAAGCAAAATAACAAAAACATATTACAGAACAGACGCTGTACAAGATTACTATATAGCGCGTTTAACCGCGTCTACATAGTCAGAAAACAATGTTGTGTGCTCAAAATGAATACATATTGTTGGTCCGTCAATCAAAATGATTTATTTGGACCTTTTTCTTGAACAGTTTTATCTTCATTGCTCACTTTCCGCTTTACAAAAACTCCCATGTTAGATATTTCAATTATTCTTAATATTTTCATTTTTTATATGACCCGTCTTCACGTCTACTGTGAGGATCCCAGCACTTCTCACATTCAGTTCGTTTCCTCACATCCATCATCCACAAAGATCTTCCAAATTTTAAGTGTGGCTTCGGTTGCTGCTTAAGGATTTCCATTTCATCTTGAATGTCGTAGAATGCTGGTCGAACAATTCTCCCTGGAGTCCTGAGATAGGAGGGCTGGAACATTCCCAATTGGACTGCAGAGAGTAATCTTTCCCAGGTAAAACAGTGAGAGGGTTGGTTGGTCCGGAGGGAAACCGAACTAGCACCATGCTGGTGACGACGGACAGAACTACCACTGTGTTATCCACCCCATATTTGTCACGTTGGAACTAAAACAAAATCTAGTCATTACCAGTGAGGTCATTTTGTATTGCCCTTTTTAGTCATTATCAGTGAGGTCATTATGTATTACCCTTTTTACTGATGGCTGTTGATTTCACAATAACACAATAGCCTACAAGCAGTGGATTAAACGCGCGTGTCCATTAGGGAAGGAAAAATTAGTAAACATAGCTCCCAACTAGTAAACTAACGGTAGATGATGAATTTGAAAGGATTTTACTCGGAATAATACACCTACTCGAGTTTAGTGTTTGACTAACATGATCTTGATGACATGTACTTGAGCTTTCTGTGGCCACTAATAGTTAGGATTTAAGTTAATTATATAATTTTACAAATATTGTAAGTACTTTCCCTCGGGCTTTAGCCGATATTCATAAGAAATCTTACCTGTTGTCAAGAAACTGTTTCTTCAATCGGTCCAACTGGCCGGGAGTGAAAGCCGTTCGTGGCCGCTTTTCCTCCTCGGAAATCTCGCGCTTTCGTGGTTTTCGGGTTCGCGGTCCTAAAAAATCGACTGTTCAACAAGTATCAAAAATATTCTTGATGCTCGAATATTTTTGGAGATTTTCCAAATTTGTCAAAAAACATTGAACAACTCATAGTTTTCTACTCTTCTCACCTCTTTCGCCAATAGCTATTTTCTGAAACAAAAAAGATTCTAACGGCAGAAAAGAAGATCCCCTCTAAGAAGGCTGAAGGCACGCATATAGCGGTGGTTAGAGGTGCCCCGCAATAGATACATGGTCTTCGGTTCGATGCAGCACCACGGGCTAACCAAACCTGCCATTCCTCCTGGTTTGGCAAATCAGTGCCGGACTTATCGGTGAAGGTAGAAAAAACAATCCTTAAACCAAAAAGAGTAAGCTATTTTCAGAAGGAAAGAAAAGATCATTTAGCATCAATGTTATGCTTTCTCGCCATATTTTGAGGAGCAGCGATTTGTGGAACGCACATTTTATCAAAGTATCTTAAAAGTAGTTCGACCATTTAACTGATGATCATTTCTAGCAGGAACTAGTTTTGACGCAGAAAAAACGAGATCCTGGATGTAGAGAAATGTCCTTTACGAGGAATTCTCATACGTATAGCTGAGCGGTTAAATAAAGAAGTAGTCTCAGCAATATGGTGAGGTTCTGGACAATTCATGCCGACACATGGTTCCATCTTTGACTAGTGACATCGTCAGGCACTCGGCAGTTGAGCACCGTAATCCAGTCCTCCGTCAGGAGTGGCGCTTACTAGCGCTACCCCAACGCGTGTTAATGAACTTGAAACTCGCGCGCGATACCACACACGTGTTTTCTATCGCTTAAATCAACGAGTTGTCGGGAAATTTTGACTCTACATTAGGTGCAAATAGCGCCGAACAAAGGCAGTAAAACAACTCGACGTTCTGCTACCGTACCACCGACGTGATCGTGTGAAACATCACTCATTAGAAGCAAATTCAAACCAACCACTACTGTTGTAGCCATTAGTTGGCAAATGCGTACAGAACACCCTCATTCCGTTCATAATAAATGTAATCTATATTTTTATGCATGTGTGGTTTATGGCCACATCGTCATTGGTGGATGCCCCATTGTGTCAAACTGTGATACATAGAGACCAGATTCACCTCCAGTGGGTTATCCATGTAAAGGAATTCGATAATTCAATGCGGAACGCACTTAGAAAAAATCATATGCTACTGCAGAACTAATTGAGTCAACCGCGGTTAATTTTTCCCGTTAAAGACTAAGAGCGTATTGGTCTACGAATCCTTCAAAAAAGCGATCCTGCCTGAAAACATTTGGCCCAGAAGAGAAAAAAATGAGCTCTTACTCATGGGCGCATAAGTAATACGATGAATAGCGACACAACAGGTTATACAAACGATTGACACTAAGTACTTTACCAGAACTGCTCAAACCAAACCCATTTCAATCGACAATTTACTAACTAGTGGTTTACAGTATTGTTGCGTAGTGATGGAAACGCCAACAATACAATTGTGGGCCTCTCCACGCCTTTACACAGGTCAAATATGCGTTTAACCCTTACCTACGATGTTCAGTAGAATCGGATATACGCCATCCCTGAAGAATTGTTCGACGAACAACACCTTATTTTGGTAGATCTAAGCCAATAAAAACAAAAGTATAAACACGTCTCATTGTTTCGAGACCTACAAATTGGTAGCAGACTTGTCTGGAGATGTCTGAAGTCTTTGATTCACAAAGTCCAGCCACTGCCAGTAGCGAAGATCTATGAACACTATAGCAGAGCTATTCCTGATTACTAGAAAAAATCATCTCGACCAGCAGTTAATCACATTATTAAAGAAGATAAAATCCTCTAAATTCCAGTCGCACTTCACCTAAATCTTAAGGTCTTCGTGGACAACGGATGGAAATATTTTAGGATGGAGAAGATAATAGTGAAGCAGTTACCCATCCAACTGTGGTTAGCTCTGTTTCAATACTGAATAACAAAAATAAAAAATAAAATAAAATAAAACAATCTTCAAGCAAAAATTTAGCAAAATTCGAACTTGACATTGAGATAAATGTAGCACCTATCGCTAACCCGTAATCAAAAATCAGTACAGCCCTTGCCTATTTTCTCTGTTGGTTTGCTACAGTTCAAAAAGTTAAACAAAAAACTTTTCCTCTTTGGTGTGTATGTGGTTTTTGAGAAGACAATCTCAAAGAAATCCGAAAGACATGGAAAGCTGGTGAAAATATGCTGTCTAATTTGAGAAAGAGCATTGAAACAAGCGCTAATGAATTTTTATCAAACATGGAATATATGTGGTGGAAAATGAACAAATATCTGCATTGGGACATTCACTTTGTGACCCAATATTACCACTATAGGAAGTACCTTTATTTGGAAATAAGTCCTCACGTTTTTTTGGGTGACCTTAAAAAATACAAAAAAGTGCCAACAAAGTCTCGGAAAAATGTTACAAGTGGCTGGGCACCAAGGATCATCCGAATGATAAAAGCAATAAATAACTGCCAGGTTTTTACTAACCAGATGAAGGACGGTCCGAATATCTCGTACAGAACACCCATGCCGGAAACAAAGCCCGATTATCGATAACTGATGCCGCCGGTGGACTGGTGCCGAACGAAGAGCTCGGACTCATAGCAGTTGGGCTGTGCAGCGCATCGCTTGTCTTGACAACGATGGGGTGGCTATTTGACGTCGCTCTGCCGAAGCACGGATCGAGTATCGAGTCGATACCGAACTTGAGCTTCTCGTGCATGTTCGTTGGATGGTTGCGCGAAGAAGAACTTAACGAGATGGCCATTTCGGCGATCGACTTCTAAGCACCGCCTATCGCCCCGGCCCCAGCCAATCACCGCGTTAGGCCACTCCCACGCTAATTGAAGCGCCAAGTGTGGCGCGGGCGAATTAGCCAGCTCACAAATGAATAATTCCGATTACGGTAGCTATCAGGAAGCCGTCACTCGTGATCGGCAATTGACAGAGAAATTAGACGGGTTGACGCCTTCAAGCCGAACAGCAGCCGGATTTCACTGGTGGAGAATATTGTAACTATTCCCGATAACCAGCCTATTTGTCGCCGTAATAATGATGACTGTGATCCAATGCATACAGTATCCCGCAATTTCCTAAGAATTACAGTCCTCACAGTGCTGAGTTGTTATTGATGTTATCACTCGATATTTGCGCTCTTCCAACAATTATTTGCCTTCCAAAATGCTATAATTGTCAAATAGTTAGTAAGTGTTCGCCACAAAGGGCATTTGTGAGATCCACACAACTACAAATAAGGCGATTATAGAAGCAATATGTGGAAACTAATACAAGAACACGATCGCTACAACTTTGTTTAAAAACTATTAAAGTTCATTCCCAGAAAAAAAGACAGCACCCTTACAAGTCATCCTCAAAAATTAAGAGCTATCTCTAGCACTTGACAGCACAGCCGTCGAGACTGCCATTCAATGCTACAAGGAGTATCTGATAACCAGTAAGTGGTCCATCAATAAAGTCTTCAACGAGTTCTGCTTCGAATGAATGAGCGTTCTTATATTTTGATCGGTCCGTTTCATTTGCTGTCTTCCTCGCTGTTTTCTCACACCGAAACAGGTAACGACGATATGTCCGCCGACGCTGTCCGATAAGAATCTTTGACATTCACCCGGCAAGTTGCCGCGTCCATGCCAGAAACATAAATACATATCATAAGGACTAATTACAAGGGAAACAAGCATGTCTAGGAACGAACGAAACGGTAGAAAAAACGTCGTTTGAACGTCACTTGCAAATGTTCTTTAAAATTAGTTTGCTAGAAATGCCGCACTCATCGTAGTTGTTGATGGAGGCAATCTAAAATGATAATCGATAAATCTGCAATAATTGGCGCCTGATGTCTAGGCAAGTACTAAGGACGATCTTTAGTGCTGAGCCTAAACTGTGAATGCTTCTTGAATTGGGAATGACAAGGGTCATCTGGGGCGAAAAGTCATACATGAATGCCTCATGGTCGACGTTTGCAGTCGTAGAGTGGGACATGGCAGGGACAAATAAGTAACTATGTAATGCTAACATATTTATTTATATAATCTTATAAACTGATCTTCTTAAGCTGACGCGAGGTTGGTACAGATCTTCGTTGTCGTTGTTTTTGATGTTACTGAACGATGGCTGACGTTTCGGTGACTTCGCCTTCCTCAGAGCCGTGATGTTACGTGCGGGACTAACAGATAACAATTTTTAACTCAAGTTAACTATCTTCACAAACTGTGACATTAGGTGAATTTTCCATCCCCTGGCTTATATTAAACCAGCAACATACAGCTATTCGATACAGTAACAACCAGGTCTGCAATAACCTTTGCTACTCTATACTTCTACTACGATAAAGTTACCACGAGGTTAGCGAGGAAGGATTTGTTGGGCTAGCGCTTCCACATCTTCGTTTTCTTCAGAGCCGGCTCGATTCGACGCGATGGTCCACAGTCGTTCGTTTTCGCGTTGCGGTCCTTCGCTGTCGCATCCAGTCGTATCCAATAGAGTAGAACACCGTTCGAGAAAATTGTCCTCCTTCGGCGGTCCTTTTTTATGCCTTATGGTTGTTGATCTACTGCCACTCTGTATGATCTTCTTCCTACCCTACTAAAATGATGCCACTACATCCTGCAGCAGTCCGTCATATATATTGCTTACTATCGGTTTGAGTGATCAATATTTTCTAGGATTACGGAGATGAAACGAGGTCGGCATTGTAATTTTAAAAAATTTTACAACTCATTCCACTCACTGTAAGTTGTTTATGGAGAAAAGTGTTCACATATCGACAGAAATCCTCGGTTATGAAGAAGATAACGTAAGCTCCTTGCCAAAGGAACGAATCTCGTCAGCCATTTCTCGACACTGAAGTTCGATGTTTCCTCATCTTTTCCCTACTTTTTATTTGTATTCATAGTTGTTCACTGAGTGCTTCCATTTTTTTACAATTCTATCACCCGACATCGCATGCTGTGTGAATTCCAGATTTCTATCATTCGATTTGTTTCGCACATCCATCGTCCACCAAGGTATTCGGGTTTGCTTGTGAGTTCGGTTACCAACTGAAGTGGAATCCCTGGATAACTATACTACTGTTTCCAAATTTTGACCTAGACGATTGGCAAACCCTTACAGATCGTATAGAGCTTTTGTCAGATATATTTGGCAGTTATTTTGCGTCTCGGGAGAGATGGGATATTCAATGGGCCGGTGCGGGATCGAACCACGAGCCGTGAGGATATTATTGCACGACAGCTCTAACCATTGTGCTTCTAGAATTTTTTACCCAATTTCGCATATACATAATTACTTCTTTACATTTGTTTAATTACAATTACAACCACATCTCGGTGCTAAATGACGAAAAGTTACCGTTTTCACATCAACACCAGTTTAAGAACATTTTCCAATCCACTGCGCCTGATTTTTATCGGATGCTTCAAAAAATCACTAATAGTGTCGAACCAGCGTTTCGATTACATTGTCTTCGAGCAGAGGTTGAAAGACGGATGATCAATTATTTGCACTTTTTTGCAAAAAATCATGTCAGACACAGTCAACGCATTGACTGCGATTACTGTAAGGTTTTATGAATTTGTAAGTTCGTGAGTGCAAACAACCTTTCGAAGTCTCAAGGAATCTTTGTTTTTCCCTCGCACGTTTGCATTATTTTTAAATATCAACCTGGTTAGTGTACGGTGTGTCTTAGGGACACTGCCTAGCACAATCTAGTGAGGCACCGTTCAAGCGCATTTCGTCGTTGGTTCTAGCATAGCCACGCTGATTTGAGCAATACGGTTATAAGTGATCGATGATTTTCAGAAAAGAAAAAGAACCGTCGAAGCTTTCGTCTCTCACTAATCTGTTCACTCCTAAAGGTCGTCCTAATTAGATAGAGAAAAATTAAGAGCCTATTAAGTGATTTTTAAAAGTGCTTTCTCGATGATGATTATTTAAATTATTGTTCCGCACTTCTTGTTGCTTCTGCCGTTTATGTTCGAAATTATCCTATTCTATTATATTCATCATTACCGTCGCATAGTTTTTCATGCAAAACTTTACCAATAACACTCATCAATGACAGTTACATCATCATATATATTACTTATTGGTTTAGTAAAGTACTATCACGCTGTATGCTAGCTATTCTAATGGCCACTGCTGCAGGATCGATTGTCCGTCGAAATACAAATTATTATTAGCAGGCAATCAGTATCTTCAACAACCGTCCTGTATAAAAGAGCATCGACAGAAGAACCTCATTCCAGTGATGCTCTACCGAAGCAGATCCGACTCGACACACTACATCCAAAAGACGAACGACTGTGGACCATCGACTCGAATCATCGGCTCTGACAAAGACGAAGTCATCATATACAGTTCGATAAGGAAACTTGTGATACGGTGGTTATAGACGTCCTTCAATACACACTTGGACATCAGTTTGTTTCTGAGGCACAGGCTAGCCAAGCTTCCCTAACTTTGTTGGACAGACTACACACCACTCTTTCGAAGTCTTTTCGATTCAATCGCTTATGTAGTCTTCGAAAAATGACTTTTGACAAATACAAACAAAAAATTTAAGTTTCTTGAGTTCTAGAAAATCGCTTAATAAAACAAAATGTCTTCTTCCAAACAGATTTAAACACTTGATGCTTTTTATCATAAGCAGCAAAATTCTCTATGAAGTGAGATATCTAGGTTTAAAGCTGAAAATGACCGTCGATTTCAGTGCACACTTTATGTGTTCATGCAGTTGAATGCATGACGAAATCTTGCCAGATGAACCAACACCGAACACTTCAACACTCTATAAAGCATCGTTGGTTAGCAAATAGTCACCCTTTAGACTAATTTATAAAATGGGTGAGTAGTGCCACAGTTGTTCTCTCAGTCCTACTCGAATTTTTGAAAATTAGCCTGAGAATGCTCAAGAATCAATCTAAACATTATGTAGATCATCTGCACCATATATAGTCCCGTGCATTATTACCTAACTCGAACAGCACTGGTTGCTCAACTCCCTCCAGGAGCACGATTAGCATCCCATTCTTTCTACTATTCGACATAATTTTACTGGTTTGGGCCAAAGGGTACTTACAGTTAGCTTGTCGAGATAAAAGGAGCAGATGTGTGCACTTTGTAATAAAACGTGTGGAAAACATGTACCACTCTGCATATGTACGGAATTCAGACAGGATCTTGAGCATCTAAGAAAATCGTACAAGGTTGAGAGGTTGTGCAACTAACGGTGAATAACATCGACACAATAGCAAACTCTACATAAACTGTAAACCTAAAATTACTTCCAGTTCTCCTCCACTTGTGGTTAGAAGACGATAAAAGACTAGTAATGACAAAGAATTCATATTAGTCGTCTAATGAGCGTCAACTGTGAAGGAGTAGGTAAAGTACGGTGTAGGTGTTTGTTCCTGAAGTATTTTTGCTCTTGTGATATACTACGGAATGTTGATAGAAAAATAGCAAGAAAGAACAAATAAACAAAATTTCGTTTTAAATTTTTATTTTGGTCTTTCATGTGAATTTATTCCGACTATATTCATCAAAGTTAACACAAAAGGGAACCCGCTCACGTTACAAGTCCCAAGTCGTTACAAGAGTCAAGTCAAGACGTTAGAAGTCGTTGACCCACCCACTCATGCTTACCCAGTTCACAGTTACTTTCATAGGTTTAGTGAAGAAGATCGAAGCTTTCAGGATAAAGCACGTGGGAGGCGTCAAGGCGATACGCTGACGCATATAGTAATTTATTAAATCCTGACCTATTTCCAAAAATTGAAATAAAAAACTCAACATGTGAGTGACACGTGAAGTGAAAGAAAAGAAGCAGCGCGATTATAAAAATTGTTGTGCACAGCAAAAAATGACCCATTTCCTAACCGCTTTATGTCATACGATTAGAAGCAAGTTTTATGCAACAATCGGCGATCTCTTGGGCAAGGTTGGACAAAAACGAGGAGCAGAAATAGCGCTCGAGATAGGCTTTTCTCAAGAGAAGGATACGATTTTTGCGTGCTCGACGGAAGGAGTGCCATTTGTCGATGCTACAACAACTTCACCTCAGGTGAACTAGAACAAAATCAAAGGGTCGTCTAAAACAACAGCAAAATCACACGTAGATTTAGTGTACTCCACCAGCATTCGTTGAAGGGGACCAATTCTCCTGCATGACGTCCAGTTGTCTCACTACGAAAACTGCAACATTTGAAAGAACTGTGACCACGGAACTTCCCCACCCAGCACCCTAATCGTACCCTAACACCAGTCTACTGCAACTTTGTCAAGCACGTCGATAATTGCTGAGTAAACTTCGTAGAGTCAAGTCTCGAATCTTTGCATTCAACTATGATGGAATGAATAGGAAAGCATGTTATGCAAGTAGTACTGCGCTAGTATGTAATCCATGGTAGTAGCAAAGTAATAACATCTAAAAAGATGCGTAAATTTCAACACCCTTTATTCCGGTTAATAAGATTTCCTATAGGCTATGATAGTAGTAGATGAAAGTGAAAGATAAAAACGGGCCATATATTTTCATTAATCCAAAGAAATCTCTAGCTCCGTGCATTTTTCAAACTTTTTAATTCGAACTCCATCTCGGTGTT